CGTAGTGGCAGCCAAATGTCGGTCACCCATCCCACAGTGAAAGATCAACTAAATATGAACCGAATACTACAACACGCATGAACTTGCCAATGAGAAACTAGAATAGTGAAAAGCACATGCACATGGAGGAAAGATCAACTAAGTAGGAACCGGAACATCACAACACAAATGAACTTGACAATTAGAAGCTAGAACTAGTGAAAACCATATGCACATAGAGGAGAGATCAACCAAGTAGGAACCGGAACATCACAACATACATGAAATTTGACAATGAGAAGCTAGAACTAGTGAAAAACACATGTGTTCCGGTTCCTACTTAGTTGATCTTTCCTCCATGTGCGTGTGCTTTTCACTAGTTCTAGCTTCTCACTGGCAAGCTCATGCATGTTGTGATATTCCGGTTCCTACTTAGTTGATCTCTCCTCTATGTGCATGTGTTTTTCACTACTTCTAGCTTCTCATTATCATGTTCATGTGTGTTGTGATGTTCTGGTTACTACTTAGTTGATCTCTCCTCTATGTGCATATGCTTTTCACTAGTTCTAGCTTCTAATTGTCAAGTTCACATGCACATGGGGGAAAGATCAACTAAGTAGAAACCGGAACATCACAACACATATGAACTTTGACAATTATAAGCTACAACTGTTAAAAGCATATGCACACAAAGCAGAGATCAACTAAGTAGTACCGGATAATCACAACACACATGAACATGACAATGAGAAGCTAAAACTAGTGAAAAGCACACGCACATGGAGGAAAGATCAACTAAGTAGGAACCGGAACATCACAGCACATATGAACTTTGTCAATTACAAGCTAGAACTAGTGAAAAGCATATGCACACAGAGGAGAGATCAACTAAGTAGTAACCGGAACATCACAACACACATGAACATGGCAATTAGAAACTAAAATTAGTGAAAAGCACATGCACATGGAGGAAAAATCAACTAAGTAGGAACCGGAACATCACAACACAGATGAACTTGACAATGAGAAGTTAGAACTAGTGAAAAGCACATGCACATAGAGGAGATATCGACTAAGTAGGAACCGGAACATCACAACACATATGAATATGACAATGAGAAGCTAGAACTAGTGTGTGAATGAAAAACAAGAGTTTGAGTAGCCCAAATCACAAGTATCCAACAAGAGA